AGGAAGGAAGGAAGGAAGGAAGGAAGGAAGGAAGGAAGGAAGGAGGAAGGAAGGAAGGAAGGAAGGAAGGATGGAAGGAAGGAAGGAAGGAAGGAAGGAAGGGAGGAAGGAAGGAAGGAAGGGAGGAAGGGCTTCCAACTTCCAAATCTTGACCTTTGTTCTGAGACCTTTTGTTCTCACTCTACACCCTTTAGAGTCTTCACTACACAACAAGGAGATCTGGTTAAACATCAGTTTGATCATGCTTCCTCCTCACAGACTCCTCCAGTGACGTTCCCTCTCCCTCCAGTTAAGCTCCAACATCCCTTATGATGCTTGCGTTAGTCACTTTCCCCCTGAAGGGATAAAATACCCAATACCCACAATTTACAAGAGAAGAGGTTAATTCTGGTTCACAGTTTCAGCAGACTTAATCCATGGTCAACTGACTCCAAGGCAGAAACACCACAGCAGTGCAGCATGGTGGAGATAAGCTGCTCATGTCATGGTGGCCAGGAAGCAGGGAGAGAAAGGAAGAGCTGGGAACAAGAATACAGCCTTTGTGATCAAATCTCCAGGGACCCCCACCTCCAACTACATGAGACTTTGGGGGAACATTTTAGACTTCAATCGTAAAGATGGTACTGCATTTCCATTAGCCTCATCCCCTTTTCTTCTCGGTTCACCTCTCCTACCCTTACCCCTTCCCTGCTCCTTTCTAGTTGCACCCAGCTCCTGGCTGTTTCTCCACACATTCTACTGCCCCACAGCTTTTCCCCTGACAGTCCTCTCTGCCTAGACATGCTTCTCCCAGGTAAACACATCACTCCACTTCTTTAGATTCATTCTCTTTCAAGAAAATCTTCTTTCTGATCCCTTTTCAGTCTTGGAAAACTAGCAAACAAAATTGGTTGATTTTTAAACAAACACTCAGAATACAAAGTATTGAGTCATTTATCCCTGCTGCTCTACACCCTGTAGTATAATTTGTGTCTGGAGCATCCTCCATTGGAAAAGCTTGGTCATCAGCATGGTGCGATCAGGAGGTATGGAACTTTTTAGAGAGGTCTAGTGAGGTCTTCAGATGTGCACTCAATGGGAATGGGAGACCCCAGCTGTTTCTGTTATGGTTTGTGCCTAGATGTCCCCCCAAAGCCTCATGCAGTCATAGGTGGGGATATTCAGAGATGATTGGATCTAGAGTGTGTGATTCTGGGGTTAAGGGTGTGGTGCTGGGATTAAAGGTGTGTGATTACTAAATTAGTCCATTGATTGGTCTGGCATAGATCTGAGTGTGGAAAATGGGAGGGCTGTGTATTCTGATTTAAGATTGAAGCTTAATGCTTGGGTGAACATGACGCTATTGTCCAAAACATAAAATCCTGAGAAGATGCAGGTGGGGAGCTGCACCTACATGCAGCTACTGGAGGCTGTCAGAGGAAGTGGCCTCAGAAAAGTAAAGGGAGAGAGTGGGCAGGCAGGGGTGGTCTTTGGACTTTAAGTACCTCTCTCTGAGAGTCTTCCTGTTTCCAACTGTGTAGATTCACAGAAGCACATTCTTCCTGCTTCCTGGAGAAGAGATGCCTCTAGAGAGCAGAGGTTCTCAACTTTAGCACTAC